TGATAACAATTTTCTTTTTACACAAATTTACTTAGAAAATTCTTGATATTTACAAGCACATTTCACCGTAATTCACCTTCTCATAGAGAACAACGAGGGAGTTCGCCCTAACGTAAGGGCATTTTCCCCCATAGATCATCATTTGTTAGCCCAAAACACTGGATTTTAAGATTTTAGGACTTTTTTTTGGTGTTTTAAGATTTTTGGATGTTTTCGGTATTTTGTTAATTCTTTAATTAAAGTGCTATTGTTCATCATTCAATAATAAATTTTGAAGTCTATCAATTCCGGATGATTCCACTTTGCTAGAGGATTTTAGGGTAAGGCTATTTTCGGTTTTTTATGTTCAATATATCACGTTTCGTCATAATTAAGTATGGAATTTGTTGTTTGAGAAAGTCGATGCTCAAACCTCTTATTTATAATCATAATTGTTAATTTTAGATAGAGTTATATGTGGTTTTGCTTACGCTACGATGTTCAATGTCTAGCACGGGACAGATTACGGAAGCTACGGAGCTATCACGAGGCAAAAGCGCCCGTTTAAGGTGGATAAGCAGCACAAGCATGACATAAGTGTTTGCGGTCGACATTGGATTATTGATGGCGATCACAAAAAATAAAGTTTATAATGGTTGATTAATAAAACATAAAATCAGATCAGGATATTTTATATTTTTTTTTTAACAAACGACATGATACTCATGAAAACTATAAAGTTTCCATTTTTTTTTATTGTGATTTTCGGGAAAAATTAACTTCATTATACAGTTAGCACCAATAATTGTTTGTCCCAAAAAAAAAAAAAAAAAAAAAGTTAGCACCAATAATTAAGTGTGGTTCCCACTTTGTACCATTGACTCGGCCATTTACAGTTGTATATTAGAAAGTGTGACCCGCGTGTTGCTGCGGGATTGAAAATTTTATGACAAATTATGATTAAAACATACAAAAGATAATGCATCCAATGATTGTGGACCTAATAATCATGTAAATGTCATCAAACCAAAGTAAACTTTCATTTAACTAAGTTCTTGGCACTTCAGTTAAATCTCAAGTTTTAAAAAGTAGTTCAATTTGACTAAAATTATACAGAGTGAGGGAAAAAGACAAAACAAATAGTTGCGGAAAGGTGTACATTGACACTAATCCTGCAAGTCAAATATGAAAAATGTTAAGAATGTAGAAGCTTAAATTATCCCTAGCATCAGTAGATTAACAGTGAAGAAACAAAATTCATTTATTTATATTGAATTGTCGCTTGACAATTCAGCATGGGAAAAAATGCAAGAAAAAAATATTGTTAAATATCATGTGAATAAGTGAATAACAGTGAACATTACATATAGCATAACATGAATATGCATGTGCATAGTAAATACTACGCAATAATATGCATAGGCAAACACTAACTATCAATTAACCATTTTAATTAACACTTTAAAAAAGTTGTTTTAAGTATAAAAAGATCTAATACAAAGAATAGAACACTGAATATTATAAAAAATAAATCCATATAATATACAGACACAATGATTACACAATGATTATGAAAATATATATCATTTGACAATACAAAATCAAGCAATGTCTAAAGATGACAAAAAGATCCCAAACAGTGTTTTTGACCCAAAAAATAAAGATCCTAGATAGTGTTTATTACAGAAAGCAAAAACGTTAGATCATATGCATTGAAACAATTAACAAATTTTCAATAAGCACTACCAAGTGTTTATTACTTAAGATCATTAAGTAATGATTGCTCACCTTTTCATCAACCAGTATACGTGCAGACCTGTATATTTATCAGTTGTCATCAGAACAGGCAGACTTTAATTTTTACTGCCTTTTTATACGGTTATCAGTTCTGATCCAAGTAAACTAAAAAAAACCAATTATAATTAAAGATTTATTAGTTATAGGCTAAATCAAACAATGATTGTATCTCAAGAAGTGAAAGATAATTAGTTGTGCCTAGTTTTATGTCAACACTTCATATTACATCCAATTTAATTATTACAACAATACAGTGACACACTTAACATAAAATTCTGCCAACCATATAACAATAGTAAATCAAGTAAGTAATTTGCAAAAATTAGAAATGTATCATAAAAAGTAAATATCTTATGTCATACGTGTTAAAATGATTAACAAATTCTTAGTCAGTCGTATCTTATTAAGAATCGTGGCTGAGAAAATAAGAAGGGAGAAAGAGAGAAATGAAACATTACCATCTAGTCTCTTTAACTGTGCAAAACTTAAAATTCACATAGTCAACGGCCATACTTGAAACCAATGAATAAAAAATTAATAAAACTTCATCAGAGATTCAGAGTAATAGTTAAAAATTTGGAAGACCCAAATAAAAATCATTTAGCTATAAACAGTATGCAAAAACGTGAAGAAAAAAAATAGAGATGCACGAAGACCATAATTCATGACTGTTATCCAAAATCTCCAAAGTAAACATACAATCAAATAGATTCCTCTCTATTTTTCATCTCTCTCCCTGTTATTTAGTATTGTGATAAGGTTATGATAAGCAATTATTTTTCCAAAATTTAATAATAATAAACGTCACAGTATAAGTTTAACATGAGAGAAAGAGTCAATCTCTACCTTTGATATGTTGATCCTACCATTCCCCTACATACTTGATCCTTTTTAAGTCCACCTATTGGCAAAATAATAAAGACAAAACTTGTAACACTATTTAAACAAAAAGAGATTTCTCAATAAAAAAAAGCTTCAATTTCAATTAATTTATTTTGTTATCAATGCAATATTGGAACTTGCATTTGGTTCAAAAAAGTAATGTAAATTGATCAAGCAAAAGAAACTACAAATAGAATCTATACCAATTGGTTTAAAAGCATTAATCAGTATGACAATGAAAATTTCATACTAAAATCTCACCTTGTGACATTACCTTATATGTGTTCATTTCCTATTTTTCATCAGACGCATTCTCATTCTCTAGTTTTGAGTTTAATTTTTCTTTCGACTCCCTATGTAGATGGGCTCAACCTCCTTTTGTTTTTCCTAGAATTTTTTCATTGAAATACAAACCTGTGTAAGTGTTTGAAAACCTGTATTGGTTATGGATATTAACAAACTGATAGAGAACTTGTTACATAATATACATACCTGCAGCATTAGAACAGATGAGAAATGGTGGGTATCATCAATAGTACTTGTCATCAACATCAACTTATCATCCAAAGCGGCATTTAATTTCTTTTATTCTTCATCATCTATGATATATATGAATAATAGATCTCAAAAGAATGAAAAAATAAAAAAAAAACAAACAAAATATGGTCGACATTGCTTTATAATTTCGTTTCAATATGGCATGATAACTTGGTTGATTCATTTGTGAACTAAATTAAAAACAAACTTAAACGATAATTTAGTGATGAGAGGTTGATTATTCAATGATAAACTACATATGCACGCCGCTGTCTACTTAAGGTGAGCAATTTAAAGACTCTATACCTCACGCATCTGGAATCGTACATACAAAAGCGGCAAAAAATGATGGCCACTACTTCCTGAAAATAAAAAAACCAAATCATATACCCACACTAAAAATCCATATACAACACAACCTCAAAATTAATTATCACCAATTTTCTGTACCAAAATTAATTATCACCAATTTTTTTTTTACAGAAAATAGATCCGCAAACTAAACACGACCCAAAAAAATTTTAAATTTTGTTCAACAAAAGATATAAGAGGAGGAACATAAATTATATACCTTAATCAGAAGGGGCCTGCAAACTTCTATACAAAAACCATAAAATTCGAACGGCAACGTTTCCTGAAATAAAAAACAACCAAATCATACACCCACACGAAAAATCCAAACTCATAAACCATGAACACTTCTCCCTGGAAATAAAAAACAACCAAATCACAACCCATACTAAAAACCCAAACAGACAAAGGAAACCCCAATAATTAATCATCCCACCAAAAACGAAACAGGACCAAAAAAAAAATTAAAAATTCTGTTGGAAAAAGATTTAAGAACAAAAATATAAATTATATACCTCACCCAGAAAGGGCTTGCAAGCTTGTACAATAAAACCTTAAAATTCAAAGACCAATGTTTCTTGCAACAAAAAACGAAATCAGATCAAACATCCACACACAAAGTACGAAAAAAATTAAGAAAACGCTCAGCACAAAACGGCAAGACTTGAATTTTACACTAATCAATTAAAAAAAATTTCTTGCTAACCAAACAAAAAATAAGATGCGGATGAAGCAACACACCTAAAACGGCGCGATTGGTTTCTGGAAAACAGCCAAAAAAATCCAAAATGCCTTTCTAGACGACGGAATCAAAATTGAAACGGAGAGACAGACGAAGAGATGGAGAGAGAGCAAATGAAAAGGAAAAGAGACGGAACAAAATAGAAGACATTTCACCACCAAATTTCAACAAAGAAGTAACAAAGCACAAAAAAAAAAAAAAAAAATCAAATATTTGGCTTTTGGGTAGTTGAGAAGAAGTGAGATTTAATCACCTATCAAAGGCTAAATTGGGAGCACGATGGCGTGGTGAAGAGATTGAACAGATGAGGAAGCAAAGATCGAACAGATCTCACGAAGTGAAATCGAAATCGCTAATCGGTTGCAGAGCATAGTTTTTTCCTTTTTGGATTTTTGCGATTTCTGAGGAAGAAGTCGAGAGACTTCTATTGGACACCGGGTTAAAATACACCAGAAGAGTCCGGAAGAGTAAAAACAAAAAGAAGGGAGCACGATGACCAACACGTGTGAAGCATGGCACAAATGCAATTAAACAAATCAAGCAGGGGCAAAAAGGGAAGCACACTGCCCTAAAACAGTGCCACCCGAGTTTGGAATCTGACAGCAAAGCAAAAGGGGCAAAGTTGAAATAAAAGAAGAATGGGCGAGGACAAAATCGGAAATCCACTGGTCATCCACAGTGACCAACCCTTACGGGTTTTAGTATATATGATGTCTTCGTCTTCGTCTTGGTGAGATAATAAGCGGATCAGATATTCTGTTCGAAGCAAAGCAATTTGAAGAGCAAAACTATCCAGCTCATTCGCAAACAGAGTAGAGAATGCGGTACGTCTTTCAGATTTATTTTTAATTTGCTCCATTTTCTTGTCCCGTTTTATCTGTTTCATTAATTATCTTGTTTTTGTTTATTTAATTAACCTCACCCCACTCCAAACAAGTTAAATATTAACTAGGATTCTTTCTACCTTTGATCTCTTTGATTTGTTGCTTGTACCACAAAAAAGATATTACCAACAGAAAAATTAATTCCCAGATGTTCCAAACGGCAGAAATATTCCCAGATGTTCAAACAGTGGTGAACTAGTACACCAAAAAGGTTATTTTTAAACGGATCAAAGAAACAAAGTTTTCAATTTCTATTCCAAATTTCAGAATTGGAGAGGATCGCAATTTTCGAACTTAGAATTTTCGGAATGTTTAGGGTTAGAGTAATCTCGAAATTTTCATAACATAACTTGAAAAGTTCATATATTTTACAAGTTTTTTAATATTCTTGAAATTTTTTCGTATATGCAATTTATTGTTATATCTTGATATTTTGTATATGCTTATTTATAAATTTATTTATTTTTGTGGAATATACTTGATTTTCCTGTTTAATACATAAATATATGGTTAATATAAAAAACAATGAGCAAAATGTTTCCAAAACTAATAATAAAATACAAAAGTTGATAACAAAATACATAATTTTAGTAAATAACTTTTAAAAATTGGCATTTTTCAAAAAAAAAAAAAAAAAAAAAAAAAAAAGCGAAAATTTTAACATCAGTAGTTAGAAAATTTCAGATTCTCTAAATGCATTCTAACTTTAAAAAATATTCGGATTCAGATTTTAGAATTTTAATTTCAAAGTCAGAAAAGATTATTCCAACTAGCACCCTAAGTACACCACCCCCTAGGTTTCTCTCGTCTGTTGAGTAACGCGCTGGAAGCAACAATGATAAAGAGTTAAAGCTAGAACCACCGAGGGGTGACCTAGTGGTTGAGGATGATTTTCAGGCCCATATTCCATACGGCACGTTTTGAGTTTGATTCTTGATGTTGGTGAATCATACGATGATGGCTAGAGGAGAGTTGAAATGCCTGTGTGAATCTTCCCAACTCCCAGAAGAGTGGACTATAGTGGTGAAGCCACCAATTGGTCCATTTTTCCTATTTTAAAGATAAAGATGTAAACACCGAAATTTCAGTGAAATAAATGTTCACCAACACATTAAAGTTTTGACATACCAGGGCTTACGTGACATGCGCCATGTGTTTTACAAATTGTACATGTGGATGCGACTCATCAAAATCAGACGAGTTATCAAGAAGTACACGTGTCAACACTTGTCGGAAAGGAATTATTTGATTGTAATTTAATTAAGTCAAATATTAATTGATGGAGCCAAATCACAAACCGGCTCACAAATTGAGTCCTGGTTTTTTTTTCAATTAATCAATCCTACAATCAAGGTCAAATCCATTCGTAGGCAAAGTTTGGAGGGTCTATAAATATGAGGCTCCAAGAAAAGGAGAGGTCCATAAAATCATTCACGCCCAGACGCTGAAACTTTGAAACTTTAAAGCTCTCAAGCACTCATACCCCCCATACACTCAAACACTTAAGAAAACTCAGAAAACCCTACGTGTTCTTTGTCAAACCTGTGAAGAACCACCAAACACCCCTACATGTGCCGGTTCCTCCATTGCCAAGAGCCAAAACCTTACAGCATCTGATCATCCAAGATCAAGTCATCGTGACCCATTGATCAACAACACTACACACCTTACATTCGAAGATCGAATCAGAGGACCAAGTTGTAAAGATATTGTAACCCTACTTTCAAATTAATACAATACAATTATTTTGTTTGCTACAAAATTTTCATGTTTACAAAAGAGTTAAATCTAGTTTTAATGAAATCCTAGAAATGATAAATTTTTCAAAAATTATATATACTAAGGTTGAAATGTCCCTACTAATTAAGAGATTTTTAATTATTCATTTAAAAAAATAAGGATAGTATTGTAATTTTACCACATCTAAAACTTCCTACTTATAAGCATTCTCTCATTCTCTCACACGTATTCTCTCCTACACGAACACTTTATGTGTGTGTTCATAATGATGTACAGAACCTAACTTTAGGTTTTTATTTATATTTTTCTGTCAAGATGGTATTTTACTTCTCTCGATTGGAGAGTTTGTTGGCCAATCAAAACTGCATCATGCTCGTAAAAACTTTCAATATGTCTAGGAAGCTAGTAGATTTGGTTATATCTATGAAGCTAGTACTGGCTAGTTAACACCAAACAATATTGTATCATGTTTACCAATGTCTTGATTCGTATATATTCGACAGGCATGGAGATTGTTACTGGAATTGTTGGAAAAGTTGCCGAGTATGCAATTGAACCAGCTATACGCCGAGTGGGCTACCTTACTCATTGCAGAAGCAGCCTTCAGAATCTACTAACTCAAGTGGATAAATTAACTTCTGCTAGAGAGGGGGTGGAGCATAAGGTTGATGAAGCTCAAAGACAAGGTAAACGAATCGAAAGCGAGGTACGAAACTGGCTGAAACAAGTGGATGAGATCACCGAAGAGGCAGGCGAAATGTGGAAAGATGAAATCCAAGCAAAGATGAACTGTCTCCATGGGTTTTGTCCTAATCTTATTCTTCGTTACCAGCTAAGCAGAAAGTCAAAAAAATTGGAACAGTTTGCTGATGAACTCTATCAAAAAGGAGGCTTCACCAATGTTTCATATGATGTTCACCCACAAGAGGTATGTACCGTGTCTACCAAATATTACGAAGCCTTTGATTCAAGGATTTCAACTCTAGAGAAGATAATGGATGAATTGAGATCTCCCAGTTCTGATCTGATCGTGGTGTACGGAATTGGCGGCGTGGGAAAAACCACACTTGTGGAAGAAGTCCTTAGGCAAGCTATAGCAAAAAAGTTATTCACTGATGCAGTTATGGTTCGTGATGTGAAAAATCCAGACCTGCAAAGAATTCAAAAAGAAATTGCCGAGAAATTAGGCATGAAAGTTGGTGAAAACGAGACTATGGCTGGAAGAGCACGTCATTTATGCAGCAGGATAAAAGACGGGAAGGTTCTTGTAATTTTAGATGATACTTGGGAAAAAGTAGATTTGGAGACTCTGGGACTTCCATGTCTGTCTAATTGCAAAATATTGTTGACCTCCAGAAATCTCAAATTTTTATCGTCAGAGATGCGACCCCAAAAAGAGTTTCGGCTTGAAGTTTTAAACGCAGAGGAAACTTGGAGTTTATTTGAGAAGAAGGCAGGCGACGTTGTTAAAGATCATGCTATACGGAATATAGCAATCCAAGTATCTGAAAAATGTGGAGGTTTGCCTGTTTTAGTTGTCACAGTTGCAAGCGCTTTAAAAAATAGAAGTACTTTGTATGCATGGAATGATGCCTTGAGATGCCTAAAAGCGTTTGACCGTGAAGGGTTAACAGAAAAAGCATACTCGGCTCTGGAGTGGAGTTTCAATAAATTGGACAGTAAACTTAAGCCATTGTTCTTGCTTTGTGGAACCATCATCGACCTATCCTCAAGCAACTCTGCCCCTTTTTCAGACTTGTTTAAATATGCAATGGGTTTGGGTTTGTTTAAGAATTATTCATTGGAACAAGCAAGCAATGCATTGCATTCGTGGATCGAACAGCTTAAAGACTCTTGTCTATTATTAGACAATGTGGGTGATGAATATATCAGAATGCATGATGTTGTACACAATGCTGCTATCGCGATTGCATCCAAAGATCATCGCGCTTTATTTAGAAAATCTGGAGGTGACCTGAAAGAATGGCCTAATAATAGGGATTTTTTCGAAAAGTGCACAACTATCTCTTTGGCTCACTGCAATGTCCCCAGACTTCCTGAAGTGTTCGAATGCCAAGAATTAGAGATGTTTATTTTGGGCTGTAATGGTGGTGACCCTGTGGAAATCCCAGACACCTTTTTTAAAGGGATGATAAAACTAAAAGTTTTGGATTTAACTAAACTGGATATTGGATCACTACCTTCATCTCTTCAGCTCCTAGAAAATCTTGGGACATTGTGCTTGGATAGCTGCGTGTTGGGAGACGTAGCTCTAGTTGGACAGCTGACGAGATTAGAAATTCTTAGCTTTCTCAATTCTAATCTTAAGGAGTTGCCTAAAGAAATTGGGAAATTAACTCATCTTCGGTTGTTGGATTTGACAGGTTGCTATCAACTTAAAGTGATTTCACCAAATGTATTATCAGGCTTGAATAGTCTAGAAGACTTGAGAATGCGAAACAGCTTCCACCAATGGGTGGCTGAAGGAGTCACCGGAGAAAGAAGTAATGCTAGCCTTTTGGAGCTGAAGGACTTGCCTCATCTGGCGGCATTAGCTGTACATATTCCGGATGCTAGCATTATGCCAAGGGGCTTATTCTCTGACAAGTTGAAAATATATGATATATCAATTGGTGATACCAATTACACTGTTCCACATTCACCTTATTCTCTCACATTCAACTTCCGACACACCACTAGATATGGAAGATGGGACAGTATGGATGGAACCCTCAACACATTAAAGCTCAAGCTCACGACTAGGCAAGAATTGGACGATGGTCTAAGAATGCTATTGAAGAGATCTGAAGCTTTGTACTTGCATGGGTTGGAGAACGACTTCCAATTCCAGTCGGATAGTGAAGATTTTCAGCAATTGAAACACCTCTATGTTCAAAACATTGCTAAATTTACATACATCATAAATGAGAAGGTACATCGCTGGTTTCATGTTAAATTCTTTCTATCTTTACACTATAATTATCATCCAGAATTTTATAGAATGCGCAGTTCTGCATTTCATTATTTTTTCCTGTCGTCCTTCTATAAGTTTAGAATATCGAAATGATTAAAATGAGTCAACCAGGGAAGATAGTAACCAACATTTATGCTATTCGAAGAGTTTTCTTATATAAACATCAAAGCAAAAAAGCATTGTTTGATCTAGTGGTGTTCCCAATGTTGAAAGACGTTCGATATACAAATCATTCCTTCCTCATAAAGAAAACTTTTATTAGGTTAGGTATGAAATTCATCTTCAGCCATATTATGGTAACTGAATTACAGGAATTTGATCTCTAAAATTTTGGATTGCATTTGACTAGTAACATTAATTGATGTACATTAATTGTCTTCTTCTAAACCCGAAGTGTGTACTGCAGGTTGGGTTGCCAAACTTAACGAGGTTGATTGTGCATGAATGTGGCTCAAGATTCTTGTTTTCATCTTCCACGGCTAGAAGTCTAGTGCAACTCAAATATCTTGAGGTAAAAAGATGTCACATGATGGAAGAGATAGTTTCAACACAAGAATATGGTGAAGAAAATGCAGATGGCATGTTTTGTAAGCTACAACATTTGAAGCTAATAGATCTTCAAATCCTCTCTAGATTCTGCTCTGGAAATTATATCGAGTTTCCATCTTTGGAAAGTTTGGAAATAGTGTATTGTAATGTACTGGAGACATTCATCTGCGAACCTAAGAGTAAAAGCATTACAGTCCGCAGAGAAACTAAAGAGGACCTGAAGAAGACGGTTGTACAATACTTTCTTTCTGACGACAAGGTGAAATATTATACTATCATCTCTCTTTCATCATTATGTTTGTCTAATGAAAAAAGAACCAAAATTTATTAAACCCGAAGTGTGTACTGCAGGTTGGGTTGCCAAACTTAACGAGGTTGATTGTGCATGAATGTGGCTCAAGATTCTTGTTTTCATCTTCCACGGCTAGAAGTCTAGTGCAACTCAAATATCTTGAGGTAAAAAGATGTCACATGATGGAAGAGATAGTTTCGACACAAGAATATGGTGAAGAAAATGCAGATGGCATGTTTTGTAAGCTACAACATTTGAAGCTAATAGATCTTCAAATCCTCTCTAGATTCTGCTCTGGAAATTATATCGAGTTTCCATCTTTGGAAAGTTTGGAAATAGTGAATTGTAATGTACTGGAGACATTCATCTACAAACCTAAGAGTAAAAGCATTACAGTCCGCAGAGAAACTAAAGAGGACTTGAAGAAGACGGTTGTACAGTACTTTCTTTTTGACGACAAGGTGAAATATTATACTATCATTTCTCTTTCATCATTATGTTTGTCTAATATGTTCACTTGAATGAAAAAAGATCTAACAATTCCATAAGATGAATGTAGGTTGGGTTCCCAAAGTTGGAGAGACTCTTCATCTGTGGCTTAAATAAGTTGACGGCAATATGGCACAACCAACATGTTCCAGGCTCTTTGTGCAGAGGAGATTATACTAAGGATAAACATGAAGCATCTGCTCAAAATCTAGTCAAGGCAGTCATACGTCAGTGCAGCAATTTGCAATATATTTTGTATTGTCCTGGAATTGAGGAAATCATTGGCAAGGTAGAGGGAGTGGAAACAACGCCCGAGTTTGTGTTCCCAAAAGTAGTATATTTTGAATTACAAGAGCTGCCCCAACTTAAGTGTTTCTATCCGGGAATACATGCTTCCAAGTGGCCGTTACTTGAAGAATTGATAGTGCGCAGATGTGATAAATTGGACATTTTGTCTGTTGAACTTTCAAGTTTCCAGAAACATGTTCTGGGTGGTGTATCTGCTCCGATTAAACAGTCTCTCTTTTTAATTGAAAAGGTAACAATACTTTCGCCGAATTTATTCAAGCAAATATGAAATTCCCCTCTTGTCAAAAAAATTAATTGGACAACCGATCTCTTACTCATTATGTTGTTTAATGTTCATTGTTGATCCATCTATAATATATTTCAGGATTCATTCCCCAAGTTAGATAAGTTGGTCTTGGATGGCACTATGGAGATTTGTGACGACCTACTCCCAGCTGAGGTCTTTCTCAAACTCAAATCTGTCGTGTTTCGTGCTCCATACTCTGAAGTGAAGACTTCACATGAGCAAGGTAGATCTGCAGAAATTACCTTGGAAGATGAAAGTCCTTGGAAGATTCAAGGATCGGGCTGGCTAAGGCATCTTTGGAAAGAGAATTCTGCGCCGGCATGCCCGGTTTTTCCGAGCTTGGAAATTCTAAGAGTGTTGGGTTGTATCAGAATACAGGATCTAGTGACATCTGCAATATCCTTCCAGAATTTAACAACTTTGGAAGTGATTGGTTGTCATAGATTGAAGTCATTAACAAACTATTCGGTTGCTAAAACGTTGATGCAACTGAGAGAAATGACTCTTGTGAATTGTAAAAGAATGATAAAAATAGTGGAAACTTCAGACGGAGAAGATGCAGCAGGAAATGAGATTGCTTTTAGCCGGTTGCTACATTTGAAACTTTCAAGTCTTCCGAGTTTGAAAGACTTTTGCTCTGGAAATTGCATTGTCAAATTCCCACAATTAAAAACTTTCTTTATAAGAAATTGCCCTGAGTTGAAGATTTCCTCGGAACTGGAAAGAATACCGCTACCGGAGCAATTTGTTGGGTATTTTAATTCTGCTTATAGTCGCATTGTTGATGGTGATGACGATGACGATGACGATGTTGAAATGGTAAGTTTTTGTTCCCAATCTTCCATTTTTTAAATTTCTTGACATGAATATTGACATGCACGTTGTATTTTTCTTTGTAATAGGTCCCCGAAAATTCCATTTGATGTTTCCAGAGGAGCACAATTCACCGCAAGAATGTATATGGTGAGTACCATCCAAATACTCTCTATTGTGGTTGTTGGAGAATGGAGAATAGAGTCTCACACTGAAGCTGTAACAAGATAATGTTGACTACTAATATCACCTGCTAATATGCGGTGTGCTATGCTGAGCCTAAAAAGTTTTATCAGTTGTGTTACTCATGTTTTCCGATCTTTGTGTCTCCAGGACATTCTTTGTTGCACCATAAACTTTTTGTGGTCGTCGTTGTTGCCTTGTCTTAATTGAGAAGAAGCTTGCAGAAAGAGTCTGCCGGTCGGGAAATGCTTGTGTGATATTCGTGAAAGCAGCAGCCTCACCGTTCACTACATTAGTGTAATATTGTTGAACTTAAGGGAAGCATATCGACAATGTGTGCAATACATTAGTGTAATATTGTTGAATTTTTATTATGGGAGTGTTTGTGGCTAGAATTAATCTTAGCAAGCCTAAAGTTATTATGGTGTATTGGTGTGCATGACTGCCAATAAACTCGGCCTACTAAAGTTTATGATATAAATGTGACTTAATATTACAGTTTAGTTGTATTCTTCTTTACTTGTAAGTGAGAGATTTTAGGTTTGAATTTTGAGAACGGTGAGTTCGCAACCAATCTATTCTCACTTCTTTAGTTGTATTTTTTTTCACTTATAAAGATTAAGAAACAATTGAATAGATGTAAAATCGACAGCAAGGCACGAACATTGTAGATTTGGGCTTGGTGTGCGATTTGGGTCTTCGCTTGGAAGGATGTAAGAACAATTGAAAAGATGAAAAACGGGCAACAAGGCCTAAAGATTATCAATTTGGGCAAATGTCCAATTTGGACCCATGATTCGCCGTTTCAACGAGAACAATGAAGTGAACAAGACGCGGAGTTCACCTCGACGTAGGGGCATTTTTTTTTGTTGAATTCCATCATTTATTAGTCTAAAACGGAACTTTAAAATTTAGGACCTTTTTGATAGGAAATTGTTATTATCATTTCAAAAATCTTATTCTACATTCCAAACTTTCCATATTAAGAAAGAAAAATACACTTGTGAGGAGTGTAGAATGAGATTTTTAGAATGCCAATAACACTTTTCTTTCAATATTGTGTTGTTTGTTTAATTCATCTCCTATAATTGTATTCCTAAAATGTATAGAGCTAAGAGGCACAACAAAGCGCCCTCAGAAGTGCTAAGAATGTTATCTTATAACATCATTCAATAATTAAGAAACTTTAAAGTAATATATAACGTTTATAAATAATTCAAAATGAGTTAATCATAGAGCTAGTTTAGGAGTGTGTTTTTTTTCTTTTTCTGAACAAACGTAATCTATACTAAGGGTGGGGTGAGGTAACTCTAATAATAGGTTAACAATAATGTGGTTTAAATTCATTTTTATCGAGGATCGAACCTAAGATCTCTCGCTTACAAATAAAAAAAATTATTGAACTGTAGTACTATGTGACAGATTAAGAATACTTTTAAAATAGCTGAAAGTACTTCAATTGTTTTTTCATAATTCACATAAATTTTAAAAACACACTCGAATTAACAATCCTAAAGTTGGACAAGGATCCTCTCCTGATCCTCTTTGTGGGGATAGGGGAATCAATCAATCGTCTCCGTTCAGGGTACATTATGCAGCTAGTTTTCTTTAGGTACTATTTATATTTAGTTTTAAATAATAAAATTTAAAATAATTTTTAACCGTACAATATATGATAGACGAACACAATTAATTGACAACCCGGATTCGTGAGAGGATCCTATTCGCCTAAAGTTGTTAATTTTGGATAGACTCTGACATACACTGTCGAAATGCGGAGGTGTCACCTTGTCAAACTGGATACCCCGAACCCGCTGAATAATCAATCCCAGTCGACCAGGAGGAAAATCAAAGCGAAGCAGAGAGGAAGAAGAAGAGAAAACGAAGGGGTGAGAGAACAAAACCTGTTCCGGTTTGAGAATTCGGAGTGAGAGAGAGAGAGTGAGAACACTGCAATACGACACCGTTGCGTTGTGAACCTCGGCTTTGCTTTGCATTTGGCAGAAGAAGAAGATGCTCCGAAAATGTGGCGGCAAATCGGGGACAGAGAAGCGGGAAAGCTCCGCCCAAATTCGTTCTTAAATCGAATCAAGTCCACACGGATCCAAACGCTCCAACTCTCCAATCACAAAGACATCATCTCCCCTCATCGCGGCTCCGTCAACACTCTCCAGCTCGATTTGACGGAGGGCCGGTACCTGTTATCCGGCGCCTCCGATGCTTCCGCCGCCGTCTTCGATGTCCAGCGCGGGACCGATTACGGACGCGGCGGAGCTATCACGAGGCACAAGTGCTTGTTTGCGGTGGATAAGCAGCACGAGCACGGGCATAAGTATGCGGTGTCCTCCGCCGTATGGTATCCGGTCGACACCGGACTGTTTGTGACGGGTTCGTACGATCATCACATCAATGTTTGGGATACGAATACGACGCAGGTAGTGATGGACTTCAAGATGCCAGGGAAGGTGTACCGGACTGCAATGTCCCCTCTGGCAACTTCTCACATGCTAATTGCTGCCGGTACTGAAGATGTTCAAGTTCGCCTCTGTGATATTGCTTCTGGGGCTTTTGCTCACACCTTGTCTGGCCACCGCGGTATGTCCTGAAATTTGCAGAATTAAACGTTCGATGCACATTTGATACATACAGAGTTAGAAAAATCAAAACTTGATATCATGAGTGAACACATGAAACATTGGGGATGAAAATATTGAGGATATAAATAAGGATTTTGTTTGAAATTTGGGGTGGATGATCACGAATATTGCGAAACTTGCTTCTTTAAATAACCTGGCCTACTCAGTTTTCTCAGCATTCTGTAAATTTGTATCATTTCTGGTTGAACCCTGTAATTGTATAGTAGGCGCAAGGCTGTCCTGGCATTTGTGGACAGCAAGAAACTTACGATACACCGTGTTGCGTTTTTCATGATGGCAGATGGTGTGATGACTGTGGAATGGTCTACTTCTAGTGAGTGGGTATTGCTTACAGGTGGATGTGATGGTGCAATACGTTTTTGGGACATTAGACGTGCCGGATGTTTTCGTGTTTTGGATCAATCTCAGTCTCAGCTTGGGAGGCGTCCACCCATCCTGGAACGCTCTGCCACAATTAAGGTTTTCTTCTTTGCTTTGCTGAGCCAAAAGTGTTTGTTTTCAAATTACTGACCGCGTTCAGTTTTTATGATTATATTATTTGCTTCACAGTTAGTTAGCCTATTTCACCAGCAAATCTGAAATGGTTCTATAAATGTTTTTGGGAGAGCAGCAAGGTTTAGAGAGTTCAACGATTCACTTTGAAAATACACTCTTTCAGAATCCGACAGAGAAGCCCTTGCTGCACTGCCATAGCAAACACCAAGATATTTATGGCATTGACCCATGAAATGCTCGCATTGATGATTCATCAAGCCAATAGCTTTACGCGAAAATTCTATCCCTTCGCAAGCATGAATTGGATCTTGTGAGCACAATTTTGCTCCCAACACAAAAGAAGGAAAGTGGGGCTTGTTCTTTGCTTCCGAACAGCCTGCAACCTTCTTCAAAAGGTTCAAGGCTACTTCATTTTTTCCACAGGCACTATAACAAAGAGCAAGAAAGTACCATCTCTCCGCTCGTCTATATAATCCCGGAAGAGCCTGCTCCACATGATCTGCTAATAATTCATACAATCCGGTAACAGAAACAGCATAAGTCAGATGATCCATGATTTCTGGATCCCACTTTATCTCTCGCAAAGCCACCTTTTTCATAAGAATTACCAACAACAGAATTGCTTCTTCTGTATTATTTTTAGGCATAGTTATGCCCCATATTTGTAACTGAGGGGGAAGGTTTGCTTCAACACCGCCATAGAGTAATGTGCAAGCTAAGCTTTTCTGAATAGCAGCTAACCTCTCCGGTTCCAAATTCCATGGCTTGATTAGAGCTCGGCGATATGCAGTAATCGCCTCATCAAGATAGCCTGCCCTTGTCCATAAATTGGGGAGCAGCTCGAGTGCTTTGTGAAACATGTCTGGCAATTTGCAGTCCTCGCCAATGTCTTGAAGAAGCATTCCATTAGGTAAAGCTGATTCAACCGTATCAAGAATAACTTTGCACTCCTTCGCAGCATCTGATGAATATGACAGCACAAAAACATGCAAACTAATCAATACTAATCAAAATTTCATCATAATAATCTGATTGCAATCTAATTTACTGGGAAGTTCTTGCTCGATGCAATATATACCAATCTCAATCCAATGCTGAATTATACTACAACACAAAAGTGTAAGCAAATACCCATATATCTTCCAAGTTCTCCCAATGATTTTGCCTTGAGTAATATTGCTTCAATAAGTAGGCTCACAGAGTGCATTGACATTACACTGGGAAGAACCACATTATCGCCTTTCGTGCGCGGCTTTCTTTGCCTAGTTCTCTCCACGATAGCCTTGGCCATCCGCGGGGTTAAATTTTTAATTTCAATACCTTGAAACACCTGAAGTGCAGCATCAAAATTCCCCCTTTGGAATTCCAGCCTCCCCAACAAAGCTCTAGCTTCCTAAAAGCCCATCGAAAAAGACGATATTAAACACTAGTAAAAGTAGAAGAAGGAAACCAATTAATCATCAATCGACAATCTTAGGGCCCGTTTGATAACCATTTCGATGTTTAGCTTTTGGGTTTTAGCTTTTAGTATTCCTAACATGAACTTCAATTAATGAAACACACACACTCACCTCATAATTCAAAGATAGAGCTTCTTTAAGAGTGGATTCAGCTTCATCCACTTGAATGTCTTCAAATTTGGACTCCCAGTCGCCGGTCCTAGAGGAAAGGCCACTCGCCGAGAAGTCCCTCGTGGCAAGGGACTCCGGCGAGTGCGGCGGCTCCTCGAATTTGAATTGCTCTCCTGAACAGGCACACAACATCTTCTCCACAAATCTTGGACCCCTGTGATTCGATTCACGCACAATCTTGGGGCAAAAAATTCACTTCTCTGCGATTTGTTTCATGCCTGCACACACCTGGAAATAGTAAAACATCAAAACATGTCAACATGTCACCGTCATTGAAGAAACAAAAACAAATGCAAGCAACAAAATTATGAGTTGTACGGATTTTACTATGAAAAAAATGCTCGGAAACAGAAAGCAACAACGTAGATCCCCACAGCAGCATAGGCAATACCGAACAAGAAAAAACATTTGCAAACAAAACCCAATAAATCCGAATTTTTTAATGTTAAAAACCCATAAAAATACTGGAAATTAAAGGGCATAGATTTGGAGGCAAAGACTGAGTCTTTGAAAAGAACATTGAGGAAGTTGAAAAGGGCGAGACAAACGAAGAGGGACAGGGTTTTTTGAACTTACCCCAGAAAGAAAATCACAACCCAGAACGTGATTTGTAGCAGTCGTGGAATATTTGAAACCTACCTCTCTCTCTCTCTCTCTCTCTCTCTCTCTCTCTCTCTCTCTCTCTTGTCTGATTTTTAAGGGTTTTTTTCTTTCAGAAATTCGGAATCTTTTTGTATTTTTCAGGTTCAAAAGAACCCAATGAAAATGGTGTGACGATGGAGGGAAAAACAAATATTACAAGGTGGGATGAGTAGATGATCAGATTTTTTGTATGGTTTAGTTGTCTTTTTCGATCTGCTGACTTTGTTTAGTCCAGAAAGGATAATAAAATTTTGCCTGCCTAGGCAAAAGTTGTTGCAGACTTGTAGGCCTCACACATTAGCATTTGCAATCTAAAAATGTTCATGGTAAACTACATGATTAGCTAATCTAGTTATGTTCTTGCATCAGTGTGGTTATGCAAATGAGATTCGTTCATTAAAAATTAATTGTCGACATATCATTGATAATGTGTTGATATCAACGGACGTCCTTTCTTAAAAAATTTAAGTTTTAACATGTCATTCATACCATAAACGCTAACATAATGTACTGAGATATTAACAATTTGTGTGCATTATGTAATTAGAGAGAAGTTTTGTTGCTTGGATTACTATTGAATCTAAATGCGAGGGAAATCTTGTTGAATGCATTAAATCCAAAATTCCACAGCATGTTGAATTCGAAGTATATGGCTGGAATGGTAGCTGCCCCCCTGAAGGAGAAGAGCATGTGCTGTGGTTGTGGATTGCTGACTTGGCTGCCTGGTTGGCCTCTTTATTTGTTTAGTTCAACTAACATGAATCATTGTGAATCATGATACCATGCCCAAGGGCAACGAGGGGATGAGTACAAACTACTCTCCAACGGACCAACACTATTGCAATCATTTGTGTTTTAGCATTTAGATAGATCTCTTTACCCTTTTTACTTACTTGATTTATTGTTTTAGGGTTGTTAAAATTCGCTTCGTTTTGGTTATTTTTTATAAGAAGAATGTTATTCAAATTTTTTCAAAAACAAGTTTAAATATAACTTATTGACGTTTATAATATCTGTTTATACTGCATGTACTATAATGAGCATAAAATACAATGTAAATTTTAATACAAATACTACAAGGGTCAGCAAATTTCACTTGAAATTTTTTTTAAAGAGTGTGATTTGAAGTCTAATAATCACGTGTATGAATTAAGGCATTATTTGTGCGTGAATTAATTTATTTATTTTTTTCTAAAAATAACAAAGAAGACAACTAGTTGTAAGTCACGGTTATTCACTTATTTTTTATCCGGAGAGACTATGGAAAATTTCACCATATTCGTGGCTACAATCAAGCCGACTCATTAGCTCAGAGTATCTAACTTTGAACCTCACATATTTCTTTTGTTTATTGGAGAGTCTCAGTTCACTTTCTTACCACTAATTCATTTGTTGTGGTTGGGTGGATTAATTTACTTGATGCGAAGATTAAGCAAAAGCAGGACATCATGGTACCAATATTTAGATAATAATTATCCTTTTGCCTTCTCCCAGACTCACACCAGCACGTTGCTCAAGAAGAACATACACACCCAATGATCGCATTAAGTCCAATATTCCAATATATAAACACACCCTGCAACGAGATAGGCGCATCGTATTCTTGCTTAATTATCGCATTAACAAATTACGAGCCAAAATAGAAGTGATTTTTCTCAGCGTGTAACAATTGCAATGCTCGTGTATCAATCACTTACCGTACGTGTAATATTATGCTTTAAATTCATGATATATCAATTATAATGGTATTTGTATTATACTACTTATTACGCGTGAATATGTGACAGTACTCCAACATTTCTCGTAAAGTACAAATCAAATTCTTGAAGCTTGTGAAATTTGTGACAAGGTTTTGAACAAAGAAGACAATTTTCTTGAATAGTACGTAACATCATGTAGTACAAAAAATAATGAATACAATTAAAAGTAAAAGATCGAATAATTGTGAAAGTTAAATTTAACAACTAAAACACTCATAATATTTAGTGTTAATAACATTAAAGTAACACCCGAGCAAATTAAACAAATGTGACATTGAGTACTGTAAAATCACATATTTCTTTATATTTATTTTATTTTAGGAAAACTAATGAAAGTGGCTTGAAAACTTTGAGTTTTAATGATAAGGACAAAATAAAGAGTAAAGTGAATAGTACAAAGATTGATTTTTTAGTGTAAAAATATGATTTTTCATTAAACAAACGTGACATTGAGTACTGTAAAATCACATATTTATTTATATTTATTTTATTTTAGGGAAACTAATGAAAATGACTTAAAAACTTTGAGTTTTAACGATAAGAACAAAATAAAGAGTAAAGTAAATAATAAAAAGATTGATTTTTTTAATGTAAAAATATGATTTTTAATTAAAGTGAACAATACTTAATACTTTCCGTTAAAATTGCTTTTATCTTTCGTTAAAAATAAGAAGAAAAAAAAACCCACGTGATGTGCTTTTTTCTCTCATATGTCACGGTACCAGAGATTGTGGTAGTGTGATTGGAACCATAGCACGGGGAGGAGAGGGGAGCAGGGGTGCAGTGATTGTTTTGATGTCGTTTTGTAACTTTTCTGCAAATGGTTTCAGACACTTCGATCTGAGAGCCTGAGGGTCTCCTCCCTTTCCAGTTCTCCCCCTCTGCAGCTTTCTTTATGGGAATCCCACCCTCCACCTTCTCATGTCTATCCCTCTAATTTTTGGATGAAATGCCTTCAGTTATTGTTTTGTTTACTAACCAAATTTAGAAATTGGTTTGTTTACCGTAAATAATAATTTGTAGTTGGTTTGCTATAGTTAATTAAACCTTAATGGTTGACTTAAAAGTTTTAAAACTCCAACCTACTACTTGGCATGCATCATCATCTTCATAAAACAAGATAAGTAGTTGGTTACGCCTACATGTTTTAAAAGATTTTTTAGTATACTGCAGGGTATTTGATACACCGAAACATAATAAAAAAATTATTTTAAATATATATGAATTGTGGTGGTTGCTTGAAGCAGGTGGGTATGGGGGTTTATTTATGAAATGCCATCAGGGCTGCCGAAAATCTTGAGTTCTTTGAATTGGTTTGATAAGAATGTTAATGGATATGGGTCAACTCATGTTAGGCTAGTAGGACTCGGTCCAAACCAGTCATATTGGGCTGAATCAAACCATAATATTTGTTTCTCCATGGCTCAGATTTTTCTGTTTTTTATTAGGCATGAAAAGTCGGATCGATCACGTTATTAGCAAAACGTAATTTACACAAACATAATATTTCTTTGTATTTTGGTTTTATCTGACTTCATGTTGGATGCGCTCCATGTGAAAGTGTTTAATAAATTTAAAAGTAGTCGTAACCAGTTTGTAATCATGTTTACCTTGGCTCATCAACTCTTGAACCTTAAGAAAGTCACATGAACCTTACGGACTCATATGGTGACCAAGACTAGATAAGATTGGAAATGAGTCTAAGCGCAATCCTATGCAGACCCATTCTTATAGCTTGTAAGACAACATATGTTTGATTATTGTCAAAATAGGACTTGTTAAACTGACAGCTAGAAAAATCAAGCACGAACACAACCTCTTCAACTAACAGAGTTAGCACAAAACGAAGCTCATTAATTAGTTAACGGGTCCAACCGCTATCAACATGGCTCACTAATATTATCTATCCCACGATTTGAACGTTGGTTTCAATTATTGTTACTAAATACAAGAAGCAAACTTACTAATTAGCTTTGTCTTCCAAGGCTAAAGTCTCCATTCTCCAAATGATCCAAAAGAGACAAAGCTAGGTCATTTAATCTTCTTCATTGGCTTCATTTTGCTTTGTTTTTTGTTCTGTTTTAATTAAAGAACATTATTTCTAAATAATTCTTAGAGAGAATTACCCTAGTGAAAGCAGGATCCAAATCTCGTCATATACCAAAACAAGATTTAGTTATTTAAAAAAGAGTCTCACATGATCCAAATTAGCGAAGTGCTTATTTTTCCTAATTGACCTTAGCGAAGTACATATAATTTTACTTGTAGTTTAGTGCTCGTTTGATAACAATTTTCTTTTTACACAAATTTACTTGGAAAACTCTTGATATTTACAAGCACATTTCACCGTAATTCACCTTGTCATAGAGAATAGCGAGGGAGTTAGCCCTAACGTAAGGGCATTTTCCCCCAAAGATCATCATTTGTTAGCCCAAAACACTGGATTTTAAGATTTTAGGATTTTTTTTTGGTGTTTTAAGATTTTTGGATGTTTTCGGTATTTTGTTAATTCTTTAATTAAAGTGCTATTGTTCATCATTCAATAATAAATTTTGAAGTCTATCAATTCCGGATGATTCCACTTTGCTAGTGGATTTTAGGGTAAGGCTATTTTTGGTTTTTTATGTTCAATATATCACGTTTCGTCATAATTAAGTATGGAATTTGTTGTTTGAGAAAGTCGATGCTCAAACCTCTTATTTATAATCATAATTGTTAATTTTGGATAGAGTTATATGTGGTTTTGCTTACGCTACGATGTTCAATGTCTAGCACGGGACAGATTACGGAAGCTGCGGAGCTATCACGAGGCAAAAGCGCTCGTTTACAGTGGATAAGCAGCACAAGCACGGCATAAGTGTTTGCGGTCGACACTGGATTATTGATGGCGATCACAAAAAACAAAGTTTATAATGGTTGATTAATAAAACATAAAATCAGATCAGGATATTTTTTATTTTTTTTTAACAAGCGACATGATACTCATGAAAATTATAAAGTTTCCATTTTTTTTATTGCGATTTTCGGGAAAAATTAACTGCATTATACAGTTAGCACCAATAATTGTTTGTCCAAAAAAAAAAAAAAAAAAAAAAAAGTTAGCACCAATAATTAAGTGTGGTTCCCACTTTGTACCATTGACTCGGCCATTTACAGTTGTATATGTCTTCGTCTTGGTCTTCGTCTTGGTGAGATAATAAGTGGATCGGATATTCTGTTCGAAGCAAAGCAATTTGAAGAGCAAAAATCCAGCTCATTCGCAAACAGAGTAGAGAATGCGGTACGTCTTTCAGATTTATTTTTAATTTGCTCCATTTACA